TCTCTCTCTCTCTCTCTCTCTCTCTCTCTCTCTCTCTCTCTCTCTCTCTCTCTCTCTCTTCAAAATTTTAATAATTTTTTAAGTATATATACAGAATACCTCAAAAGCCGATCAATTTCTCTCGATAACAAACTTTAGTAACTTCTGTTTTTACTCCCGACTGTTGCAAACCAAAGTACCTTCTTTCCTAAAATCGGTGATTCGGAGACTGGGCAGTGTTTGCGATATTCTGTATAAGCGTCACGTACACATACACACATGCAATACAAACGCGTGTATATATGTATGAACGTAATATATTAGTGAGATCAGTAAATAATTCCATTAACATTATATTTATACAAAGTCATATTTTGTTTTGTTTACATATCTATGTCTACATATACTTTCCCTATGCAAATTAATATTTGGTTTTGTGTACTACGCGATCTCCGTGTTTCACGTCATATCAGAATATTCACTCTTCCTTCCTCTTCCTTTTTATTTGAGGTAATTTGATTTTGCTCAAATAAACAGAGAAAAATTTGTTTATTGACTTTCGCTTTTTGTTTGCAGCAGATCGCCATCCACGGTATTGGCTCGTGGCTCGTCGCCGAGACAATCCATGAGATACAGCCTGCGTGGCAACGAAAACAAATACATTTCATTATACTTCATATAATCATATTTATATAAATATATATAATATCCACTAATTAGACTAATTATTATTGCGCCTTTGTATGAGATTTAATAATAATAATAATTTAAAAATATGTTTCATTCAATTTAAAAATAATAACATATATATTTTTTAATATTAAAATATTTTATAATTACGCTAGTAAATTGGTAAGCTATGTCTAAGTGCAAATTATATATTTCGTAAACTATTATTTAAATAATTTTAAATCACACTAAATCATTTGCTGTTGCTTATAAATTTACAGAAATTATTGCAAATATATACCTGTCCCTACAAGGGTGTTTCCTTACGCGCTTCCGCCTTCCATTGGAATCCATTTACACGCGTTGTAATAGGCTTATTTCTATTTGTAGCATTCTCAATTCCATTTCTAACGCCCGCTACTAATCTCATGGCTGGATTGGACACTAAACCATTACGCTTTGGTTTTACATTGCTTCCACTGAAATGAAATATAGTGGTACTTTATACGAAATATGCTTATGAATAACATACATGAATATTAAATATTTTGTTTCGTCGAAGAGTTGACATGAAAAATCAAATGTAAGTTAAAAAGGAAAGCAATAATGTATTAAAATTTTAGAAAAAAAAAAGAATATTTTTATAGTGATGTCTTTGCTTTTGATCAACAATACATTTTTAAATAAACGATGTTAAAACCAATTGATACATAGCATGATAAATATGTCTAACATTGTCGTATGTCCTCCTTGACTACATATTCTATCTTTTTTCGCTCGGGAGGGTTGAAAAAGGAAGGAAAGCCTATCGCTCATGAAGCGGTGTGTCTTCCTTATACGACCATTGTGATTTCTGCAAAGTCTAAAGAATCGCATTGAAAAAAATTAAGATAATAAGTATGCTTTTTAATAAAATTTCGATTCAGAAAATGGAATTATGTACATGATGATTTTTGTAGATGATGTGCATGTGTAAAACATAAGACAAATGTACATGACGTTTGACACTCGCTGAGTCTTGTGAATGTATTGCCTATAAATAATTTGCGATTTCTAAAATGTAGTCTGATGTGTCTCGTGGATGAACAAAAACATTTCACGATGAGAAAACGTTAGTTGTATATGCTGTAGTAAACATAATTAAAGTGTTAGTATAGTGCTTACAACTTCTAAATATAATTTATTTTTTATTAACTGTGCTTACCTTCCAGATGTGTGATCCGAGATATGCTTGACGCTTCTACCAACGCCAGCGCCGCTGTTTCCCAAAATTATTCTCATATGAGTGTCTCGAGTAAAATGCGTATCGGCCGAATTTCGTTTCTCATCATGTCCATTCTCTTTATCCTTTCCAATATTCAAGCCTAACATTTCGTTCGTTAATTCAAATGGCTTACTAATGTTATTCCTGTCAATAATTTCAGTTTTGATGTTGATAGGCTCATAGATGACGGGCGTATGATTGTATCCTATCTGCGTTTTGTACGACACATTTGGATTTGCTGCCAATAACGATACGCCCAGCTGACTCTGTATCACGTTAACTGCCGTTTGAGCACTAGGTGGACTGGTGTTTGTAGGCGAATAAGGAATGAGACTGTCGCTTAACGGAGAGTGCGGAGGTGAAGCGTATATTGGACTCTGTGGTTCGCTTTTCAAAGGTGATAATAATTTGCTGAGTGGTCGACTCTTTGCACCCCTTGAGCATTGTTGTAGTTGTTGAGTGAAAGATAATGGTGCCTAAAATTATGAAAATTAGGTAATTTGGATTTTGTAAGAATTAAATAATTTACAAAACATTGAAAAGAGCTAAATAATTTATGTTTTATAAGAGTTACATAATATTAATCATAACATAATTATAAAATAAAAATCGTTCCAATTTCATTATTCAATAAGCAGTGTGAAATGTTGTTACGTACTTTAATTACCTGACAATTAACCATTGAGTTCTGATTGAATTTTCCTTGATCGCTCTTAGTGCTGCCAGTTAAATTACTGCTCGATTTGCTGTTACTTGAATTATTGCCTAACGAAACACAACTGCGTCGTTTTGTCGAATCCGGCGATTCCGCTGGACTGTATTGCGTCGATAGAGGATTTAGAATTGCCGACGAAGGTTTAGTCTCAGCCGTTGAATTTGATGTGACAGAAGTAGCACTGCTGCTACCACCTAGAAATTATGCAACATTACATTACTTTCGATTAATTTACATATCAAAAGAGAAATTTCAGTAAACGAAAATTGTAAAAAATTTATTTTTATATTACAGACAAACGAAATACAGTTCTATTAAAATAATTTCAGATTTTACAGTTCGAATTTTATCTCTCATAAAAAAGAAACAAAAAGAGCGTTATTTTTGCATTTTATTTCTAATAGTATTTTCAATGGATTTGGATCAAACCGAGATTGATTAATTCGAAAATGACATAAATTCGTTCAATCAGAAAATAAAGTAGAACATGTGATGTCATTAATCGACCTTAGATCGATTCAAATCAATTGTTGAAAATGCTATAAATGTACAAGTTTGTGATAACAAATTAATAAAAAATGAATCTATCAATTAACCTCCATTGATACCGGGCCTCAAACTGCGTTGATTCGCAGAATGCTCTTCTAACAGCCTGACAACTGTATCGTGACCACTTTTAGCGGCCACTTTAATGGCATTACGTCCACAGTGATCGGAGTGATTAGGGTCAGCTCCATGATTCAAAAGCGCCCGAACACAGTGTTCGTGTCCTTCCTGAGCGGCTATACCTAAACATTGCATTCTCCTATCATCTACTTCATGTTTCAGTTTATAAGAGAATTACAACTAAGTTGTAAAAAAATAGTTTTATATAGTCGATGTATAGTTTATTCATAATCGTAAACATTGTTCACGATTAATATACCTAGAGCTGTTGCACCTTGATTACAAGTGTGATCAGGAGTGGCACCATGTTCCAAGAGTAATCTGACGATCGCTGCGTGACCTTGCCAAGCGGCCGAATGAAGCGGTGTTCTATTTTCATTGTCACAAGCATTCACGTTAGCTGCACCCTCGGTTAGCAATAACTCTACCATCTCCACGTGTCCTTGCCAGGCGCTCACATGTAATGACGTTCTACCCTATAGAACACAAATATAATAATTATCAATTTTTAGACGTCTCTTACAAGTAAAATGCGAGTCATCTCAGATATTAAAATAACAAATAAATTATTAAATCTTTTCTTTCAACGTGAGTGACGATTACTTACTTCTGAATCTCTACTTTCTACGTCTGCGTGTTCGAGCAGAAACCTCGTCATAGCTAGTCTGTTTTCTAACGCGAGTATATAGAGAGTGCTTCTTCCATCGGCATCCTTCGCATTAACATCAGCATTATGAGATAACAATACCTTTACTGTATCATAATGTCCTTCCAAAGCCGCGAGTCTATGAATATATAGGAGATAATTCATTAAAAAATGTCTACAATTTTATTTACAATCTTATTTGTTTAGATTAAAAAGGTTTAATTCATTAATTATTATTAGAAAATGTATGTGTGAATAAATCACTAAATCAACCTTAAAAGAAAAAGCGAACCTTTCCTAAAAAGTACACAAATTATAACATGTGTTTTATAACTATTTAGATTACAATCTAATCTGTAAGATACAATTATAACTTTTTCTCAGTTAATTAGTTTCAAAATAATAAATTGTATAATAGTAAAATCATAGATTATTATATCAGCACAGCGGTTACCTTAAAGCGGTTTTACCATCGTGGGCATGCTGATCTATAGGCGCGCTGTGTTGTTTCAGCAATCTCTCTACCAATGACGTGTGCCCTTCCTGTGCTGCGAGCATAATAGCGCTCTTTCCATCATTATCCGTCTCGTCAATCTTCGCGCCAGCCTCCAGTAACGCCTCACAAACATCGATGTGACCCTCGAACGCCGCATAGTGTAGTGGGGTCCAACCAGAATTGTCTCTATGTTGCTCGTCTAGACCTTAGGTAGAAATTACATCTCTTTATACACTTATGATGGAGAGACAGAGATCAGGCACAATACGGTTGCGCCAGTTAAACTAATTTTACAATATACCTCTGGCGAGCAATTGCTTCACGACGTCCGTGCCGCCCTGGGCAGCGGCCACGCTGAGAACGGTCCTGCCTTCGTTGTCTATAGTGTCGACGCAGCAGCCCCAGTACAGTAAGAGTTTGACGACCGATCCGTGTCCCATACTCGCGGCCGCCCACAAAGGCGTTCTCCCAGTGACGTCGCAATGATCCATATCCGCGTCGAATTCCAGAAGCAAATCGCAAACGTCGCGATGACCCTCGAACGCGGCGACTAGTAGCGGAGTCATGCCGTCTTTGTCTTCGTGATCCACGGTGGCACCTCGCTCTAAAAGTATCGTGACTACCTGCGAGACAAAATTAACATACAATATACATTAACATACAATATATATTATCAGATATAATCTTAATTTTTTATATGATTTAATATATGTAATATATCTAATATTAAATTTTGCTTATATTTATTGTGTATTAATTATTTTAACCGAAATCATTTTCGCCACATTTATTTATAGGATAGAATTATACTAAATTATCAATAAATTCAAGAATGTTAAAAATAGTACACCCCAAACTGTGATATAGTTTATTAATATAAGATTTATGAAGCTGTGTGTATGTGTGTTTATTCATGTGTCAGACGAACCTTTGCATATCCGTGATTAGTAGGAACACATAGCGCAGCAACGCTGAGCGCGGTTCTGCCGTCGCTGTCCGCGTGATCGATTTCGGCACCGAAATCTAAAAGATGTTCTACGATCTCGCTGTGACCCATATATGACGCGGCGATTAAAGCAGTTCTACCTTCGTCGTCTGTTCTGTTAACGTCCGCGCCGTGTTTTAAGAGAGCCTTAACGATATCCTCGTGACCGCCCCATGCGGCGGCTCTTAACGCAGTTCGTTGATCCCAATCCGCGCAATCTACCATAGCCCCGTGCTTCAGAAGTTGCTCGACCACCTGAAACAGAACTCGTGAGAAGCACCTGTTTCATTTACAACTCGCGAGACCTGCAATTTAATGGTCTTACTATCTCTTACATATATATAATACGGAGTTAATGAGACTTGCATATGTTCTTAGAAATTCACTACTTAATCTAATTATACCTGAATATGCCCTCCCCAGGCAGCGGCCCTAAGGGCGGTCCAGCCGTCACAGTCCGCGTGATCCGCCCTCGCACCGGCAGCTAAAAGAACACGCACCACATCCGCGTAACCATGCCTGGCGGCCAAGTTCAGTGGTGTTTGTCCATTACGGTCGACCGCTTCCAATTTTGCCTTAAATTAAAAAATCCATCAAGTTTTTCTGTAATATTACGTGGGAAAAAAATGAAAACAGATGTAAAATGTTTTTACTTTTTGAAATGGACAACATTTACCTTAAAAAACTATTCTTTGCAAAAAAAAAAGTAATAAAAATGCACAAAACTTGGAAATAAAATTTTATAATAAAAAAATGTAAAAAATTGGAAATTAGATTTATAATTAATAATTTTGACATACTTGGTTATTTTACTTATAATATGTATAAAATGATAGCTCTCTTATAATTAATTAAAAATTGTATTGTGTTGTAGTTTGAGATTATAATTTGTGTACCTGCGGACAGGCTGCAAGCGCCAATTCCAGAAGAGATGCATTGCCATCGGCGGCTAAAGTGTGTAATACCGTTCGTCCATAAGAGTCTGTTTGATTGATATCTCCGCTTTCACCGAGAAGTTCTGTTAGCGGTTCACTCGGAGATTCATCAATGGGGCTCACATCTTGCGAAACCTTTGTGTAAGAAACGCGAGATTAAATTTTCCGTCGCTACAATTTTTAATTAGAAAATTTCTATTACAAATATTTTCCATCAGTAAACTGTACGGTGTAGCGTTATCGAATGTATTATGAATCATACCATATTGAGGACATATGCGACTTAATAATGCCTGAAATTTTCTATGAGTTGCATTGTTCTTTCTTATCATAAAAATATACTGACCCCAAAAAGCTAGATTAGATATTATTATGTTTTATCATAATTTCCTGTTTTCATATTCCCAACATAAAAAGAGATTAGATACCTATTACTATATTATTTATATATTCATCATAGCATCCTAAGAGATTTAGAAAATAGATTCGTATGCAAAATAAACTTTAAACTGTTTTAAATCAATTATAGATTCTCATTTTAATAAGAACTACACTACCTGACTAGAAGAAATAGCATCTTTGCTAGCGTCATCGTCAATCGTCTTCTCAGAGGGCTTAGCGCCAGCGTCGATTAGCAGTTTCAGAAGCTTAAAGTCTTGCCTGGGCCAAAGAATGCACTCGGAGCTATCCAGATAACAGCCTTCGATGGGCGCGTTACTACCAATCATCCAAAGTACTTGAAGAGTGTAGACATCCAATGTGGTGTTAACCGGAATGCTCATTATCGCGCGTTGCAGGTGTTGCGCCAGCACGCAGATCTCGTCGGGATTGAGCTCGGGGCCGCGTAGAGTGTAGTAGGCCGCCAGCATGGCATGGCCCTCAGTGGCCGAACAAAGATACTTCTGGGTGCAGTGCTTCACGTCCAGCAGCCATTCGGCGAAGCTGTGATGAAAGAGCATCAATGCGCCGGCACGCGAGACCGATATCACCCGACGCAGTAAATGGAGCCGGCGATTGAAGTCCTCCACGGTGATGCCGACGCAGGCCGTCTTCACGCTCTCGTACAGAATCTCTTGAGTGATGGGCAATTTGGCAGCGAGTATGACGTTGAGTAGAGGCTGCACCTTGCTGAATTGCTTCCTGCTGAAGAGTCGCTGGCAGAGCCAGAGGTATAGGCCGTTCAGCGTTCCCGGGATCTCTCGCACCTCGCGCAGAACAATAAAGTTCTCCGCCACGCCGTCGAGAACTTTCTCCAGGTACAGAAAGCAGCCGTTGCTCTTTATGTGCAGCTGGTTTAGCATCTCGGCGGTGTCACGCGAGATGTGCTGCCTGTGAAAGTAGTTTATCGCAGTATTAGCGAAACGATTACTCATACGAGTGACAAGTATGAATAAAATATAAGTTTTAATATCATTGTTGTTAATAAACGTAAACTTTTGTGTGCTATTTAAGTATATAAGGTTAATATATTCATTTATTAAAGTGTAATTTTTCTTAGAAAAAATTAAAAAGAATTAAATTTTTTATCTCTTCTCAATTGTTTTTTTAAAAATTACTGTCAACAAAGTTAACGCAAATATATCAATTGTATTCTATTACTTTGTCAGGTTAAAAAACAATCCAATTAAAATTCATGTCGACATGAATTTTAATTCTTTCATCAGCAATAAGAATTTTTAAAAAACAGAACAAATTTTTTATTGTTCCGGATTACATACAGATCTGAAACAAATTTTTTGTTAAAACTTTGACAAGTATACCAGATGAGTTTTACAATCATAAAAATTCGAATTGTATTTTATTTATTTTCAACAGATTTTAATTTACCTATCAAAATTCAGAATCAAAATATCGATGACCTCGATTGTCAGTGGAGGATTAATAAAAAAAATTGAGCAGATAATAAAGAATACAAATAATTGGTGAGAATTAAAATGTCCTAGATGCACAACAATTAAGAATCCTGTTGTTACCTGAGCGCATCTTCTTGATCCAGCCGCGCGAGAATATATTGTTGAACATCCCTAACAACCTGGGACTTTCTTAGGTCGTCCAGCGAGATCTTGCGAAAGCCGGTGAACATACGCGAGATAGTCTTACTCTGTCGTCGAGCGGTGCAAACTAACAAAAGCCATTGTGGGAATAGATGGTGATGATTAGCCAGCAATTCAGCTATTGTACGACTGACATTATCATTCTCTCTCCGAGAATCCCTGGTGCCAGTTTGCGGTGGATTTAACGTCTGGCCCTCGTCAATGGAGTCCACTAGCAAGAAGAGACAGTTCTTTGGCGGCTCGACTTCCAACAGCGGGAAGAGCAGAGCCTTCTTCAGAGCGTCGTCCGGATCTCGATCCAAAACGTCCGGTTGCAACGCGGCCTGTATCTCCGGATCGGTTCGCAGCTTCTCGGCGTAGGCCTCTGCGACGGCCTCCCTGGACGTGAGAGGCGGCGCCGTTGCGACGATCGTCGATATCGTCGGTGTCGTCGTCGTAGGCATCGCCGTCGCCATTGTCGTCGTCGTCGTCGTCGTCGTCGTTGTTGCTGTAAGCATCGTTGTGGTGACGGCCGTAGTCGCGGACGTCGCCGGCGAGATGGGCATGGACGACGCTCGATGATGGGAGCCGTCCGAGCTCGCTTGGAGCAATTGGGCCACCAGAGACCGCACAAATTGAGCGGGTGACAGAGAGGCCTCGCTCCTAGCCTGACAAAAGTGTCGGGCCAGCAGACGACGATTCAGGGAGCGCTGATGCCTCGCGGAGGCGCCATTCGACGGCCACGCCAACTCGGCGCAGAGAGCCGTCTTCCCGCTTCCCGGCCCGCCCACGATCAGAGCACCGCAGGTTTTCGACTGCGGACGCTGCTCCAGGCAGTGTGACAGCTTCGTGAAAGCCCATTCTCGGCAGAAGAAACGCTTCTTCTCGATCACCGGCGCCGCCATCTCGACACGTCCCGATATCGTCTCTTCTCCTATTACCTCGGCGGGATGATGAATCCGCTTCTCGCGACTGGGTTTATCGGGGTTCCCTACTGTAAATCGATTGGCGTAAGTAGATCTTTGGCATGGGTTTCACTATATCGGTTTCAATCCGGATGCGTTTCAATTCGCCTGGACGTGTATCTAATCGGATATCTGATCGGATAAGCTGTTCTCTCTTCTGTCTGTGCTCTCTCCAGAATACCGCCGACTAAATGCAGATCTGGTGTAAATGATGAGATGGGTGGCGGTTCAGATCGGCTTAAGTGCAGCGACAAGATTGACCCGGCTGCGTTGCTCTGTCAACGGAACATTGGTGGGAGCCCCAGGGGGCTCTGAGGCTTCCTCTGACTCCATTCAGGCTTCTCATCGCCTTGTAGCCGCCTTGTAACAACAATGCGCTTTGCGTCCTTGCATGCTATCTAAAACAAAAGGAGACTCTTTTCCCTCTTGTTCCTCGAGTATTTTGCGAATGCGTGTAAAATGTAGAACGACGAACATAAAATTAATTTCTCGCCGCGAAATGACGACGCGCGTGATAAAATCGCTTTCAAACAGGAAAATAGAGGAACTCTACGATAAAGCACGCAAGGTACTCCTCGTTGAAATTATTCGGACGCAAATTACGCGACTGTGGCAAAATACTCGTTTACATCACGATAGACACGGTAATGTAGCAGTTCATAAAATAAATTCAGAGGACTTTCATCGTTGTGTAAATACATATAGCTCGCGGTTACACGAGTAATTTGGATATTTCGTGAGCGATGTGTCTCTAGCAGACTTTTAAAAGATTTCCCAGTCTTCCCTCGTCGCAATTAAGTGGTCCAACTAACCGTCTAATTGATTCGCTCAGTGTTAATCTTTAGACCAGCCGCGTCCTCTGGAGGCTGGATGGCCCTCCTTCCGAGACTTTAATCATTTCCTTACCGTCCCAACTTGGCGCGTTCTTGCCCGGAGGTGAAGCGATATTAACTTAAGATAGTCTTCCGTTTAACAAGATAGATTAACGCGCTGTCCATTAATGCGATAATTAATAATCCTAACACGACGGAAAGTTCGACGACCTCGCCCATCGCGTTCCGCCGGATGCGTTTATATCGCACTGAGGGATAAATACCGTATCGTGGCGAGCAGTGCGGGTCTCTCGCAATCTTTCCGCGTTTAACGATTTTTATTGGTATGCTAAGAGTTCGCTGAGGATTTCTACTTTTTACTTGGAAACCAGCTTTCTCTTTGACTTCCTTGCAACTCGTCCACATTTAAGGGACTTTGACTTTATACAAACTGACATTTGAATTTATTAATTTTTGTGCAACCTCGGCATGTCTTGCGTTCATGGCTTTTATTATTTAATCATAGAACGTCAAGTTAATGCAACTGGAATTTCATTACACCGTGAATTTCCACTGTGAGTATTGCACGGATGAGGGCTGATCACAATTGAGCGTGAAGTTTGCGTCTTCGATTAAAAATGTCGCTGAAGATGACCCTATAAACGAGGCGAGGCTGAACATCCGAAGATTTCGCAACGTGATAGCATTTTGTATAGGAATTATAAAAAAAAAAAATTTGCGCTCCAATAACCACGTTGTTACTCTCGTTTGCCATATTATACTGTTTCTGAATTCTAATAAAATTTGGATAATCCGGTTGTCCTTGCTGACACTTGTTTCCGCCAACAGATGTGCGTTCTGCAAGAAAGCGCACCCTTTTTCTGCCTCCCTCCCTCCCTTTCTCTCGTTCTGATAAATTATAAATGCATTCCCGCGGCATATCGCGAATCGATTCGATTACATGGCCGGAACCGTTAGCGTATAATTGTGTTACGCGCGACGAAATTGCCACATGACCATTTCTGACCATCGCTATCACCGATCCCCCTCCTCTCTTTCTCTCCCATTTTTTGTCTCTCCTTCTCTCTAGCAGCGTGGGAAAATGTGTTGCGCGAGAAAACGCGAAAACGGTTTTCGCCGAAAGCCACAAATCCGACTGTCACGTCGATCGATACACATACACATATACATGTGCATACGTAGATGTAACGAAAGATCGCTTGGCACGTCGACCCGCGAACGCAGGGACGAAGGACCACAAATCTAACTCGTGTCCGGAAACTGGCGCGATAAATTTCGCGTTTATCCGTCCGGCCGCCGAGAGAGGCAATCGGGCGGGGCCCAATATTTCCCTTTATTTTCTTAATTGGACAACTGCTTAGTTACGGTCTTTCCGTGTGTGTGTAGCCAAAACTCAAATTAAAATTCTATTAAAAGTAAAATCTGCTTGAAATTAATGGAGATAAACGGCTTTCCTGAGTTGCCCGCTTGAAACGTTCAGACCGAATTTCCGCGAATGTTACAGCATTGAGCAGAGAGTCTCGACGATGTCTGAGACATCTAAAAAAAAAAAAAAGGTTATCGCTCGCTTTTACAATATCGTTATCTGGGTTTAAGGCATTTCCTGTCTTGATTTATCCATAGACGTATAATAAGAATAGACATTCTTATGAGTTATCGTCATTATCGGTATAAAAAGATGAACTCAAAACACATTACCTGCTCTCTCTCTCTCCCCCCTCCCTCCTCTCTCTCTCTCTCTAATTTTATTTTATTTTGTTTTTTATTTCATTTTATTTTTCTATTATATTTATTCATCTATCTTCGTGTAATATTTTCTTCAAATTTCTATGCTACTTGTCTATAAATTATCTTATCTCGTGCATATTAATTTAGTGCTTAATTTTGTTACTTATTTTGCGTCTCTATAAATTTCTGCTTCAATTGTTAATTTTCTTGTTTTGCATTTCTCATAATTGAACGTTACTGTTTACTTTTTCTGTGTATTCTTGGAAGGTTTACCCTAGAATAGTATAATAAATGTCTATCTAGCTTTTTCTCTCTGTCTCTAAAATATTAATTTGAAGATTAATTCGAGATGCTGATATGTTCAATTCTTTCTGATGGAACACAGATCCTAAGAACTAAGAAAATGTGCAGTCCATACTTATTATGTTTATAATTATTCTATGATATAAAAATGCCAGATACAATAAGATATTGTGTACAATGATAATTGAAAATAATTTAAAGAAAATTTCTAATGGCAAATTTTTAATAGCTATTTCTTTTTAGCCTATAAACTTTTCTGATTGGTCACAAATGTCGTCATTACTTCAAACTACTGCGCATCCACGGGAATGTTATACTTAGTTTTCTTACATCATGATTTATTCGTCTGCGATGAGACGGAGACCAAACTTGTTTGTTCGGGCGCAAAGTTGATAACTGTGTCGCGCTTCTCGGTTCATTCATTTCGGCGACATTTGCCCATGAGACTTGTAAGCAGCCAAGGGACTTGGAAACTCACGGTAAGGTAAATGCACGCTTGCATACACACACGTACGAAACTGACGTTTCGTAAACGCCTCGGTAAATGCCACAAGGCTCGACCTATATTCCGACAATGGCCGCCGACCCGTTTATTATTAGATGCGGAGGCACACAACGCCATAAAGATGACACCGTCAATGTGCGCGCGTTGCATTGTCACCTCGATGAAACCAGAACCAACGTTGACAACCCCCTCGGTTGTCCCTCTCCCTTAACCAGCAATCATTATGGCCGAATGATACGCCGCAACCATGCACGAGAAACGAAACGAAGCGAGAACCTGTTTCACACGAGAGAATCCCCACCACACTCGGTTAATTAAACTCCTTGAGGAAGTGCAGCGCATCGAAATTGAAACCATTCATTTTCTACTGGACTGTACTTAATGGAGGTAATTAATATTTTAATCGCGACATTGATGACAAATTGCGAATCATATCCGGAAATATTTGAGAGGAATATTCACGCCTTTGGTAATAGTTTCACGTAGAGCAATTACTTTAGATACGCAATATGTTTTCGTATACAATTGAATGTATAAATCGTGTCCAATAAAAGAATAAAAATTGATTGTCTCTAATAAATAAATATTGACCACGTCTAATAAAAGTAAATTGAATGTTGGAACAAAACGCGAATCTGTATAGGAAAAATTGTTCTTGACAAAAGCTTACGCACTGATAACAGCGATCGAGAAACAGAGCGTTGTCTACTTTCATGAAAATATCCATTACATATTTCGTTTGGTTCAAAAGAAATAAAACGGCGCAAGGCAATTTAAATAATTTTATTTGAAACAATGATTGTCGCAATGATAAACACGATTTTATATAGGAAAAACTGTTGACAAAAGACATTAAACGCAAAAAATAGAATACTATGCACTATCATTTTTTTTATGGAAACACTCTGTTACATATTTTGTTTAGATCAGAAAAATTGAAATGCAAAATAATTTAAATAATTTTATTCCAAAAAACTGATTGTGTCGCAATGTGAAACACGGTTCTGTAGACACTGTTCTTGAACAGGAAGTCTATGTACTAATAACCGAGGAGGAGTGTTACCTACTTTCATTTTCTTTTCCATGGGAATGTCTATTACATATTTCGTTCGGTTCAAAAAGAATTGAAACGATGCAAGACAATTTGAATAATTTTATTCGCGAGCCTGCTTCCCCGCGTATGCGTATGCGACAGCCAGAAGGGGGGTTGGAAACGTCACGGTTGTAAGCGAACGAAGGGATTGGGAGGAAAGGGGACAGTGCCCGATGTTTCCTTTCTCACGTTATGCTTTCTCCCTGTCTGTCTTGCACCCCTAACCGATCGATTTCCGTTCCCTACCCCGTGAACTCCGCGTGGCCGACCTCGGTGAACGCGAAATTTATCCTCAGCAGAGGCCACGGAACTGGATTCAATCAACGAATATAGGCGCTGGATCCATTTACATGCAAAAAAGGAATACGCCGTCATCGATAAACGGTAGCACGATTCATTTCGTGAGGAATACAGACAAACAGGAGCCTGGAGAAATCAATTTTTTTTTTCTTCACCCGGCAACCACGCGGACGATAATAAACGGCAGGATCGTTTTTCGTGGAGCTTATTTTTTTAATTCTTAATTTACTTGGCAATTAAAATTTTTTTTTCTTACGTTCAGCGATGAGAAATATTTGTACGTAGATTCATTTTTCCTCTGTTTTTATTTTCTTTTCGTCATCATTCAGGTCAATCGTGTATCTCGAAACGGGGTAAAAATTACGAAGGTGAGCAAATTCATTTGAATATTTGTCATTTCATTCATGCAAAAGAAACCCAGGTGTGCTCGTTCTCGAGACGAATTTCATACAATTTTGCGCAACTGCCAGATGCGGTTATATTCAAAGTGACACATACATATTTAAACTATATACATTGCTAAAAAGACAAGCATTATAGAAACCTGATGTAATTCCCGCGCAGAATTTAGTCAATTTCCTAATTAACAAGTAAGCACACATACTCGTAATTAAGTAAAAACAGAAAAATATGTAA